CTCCTCCACGAAGCTGAAGCCCAGACTCACGGGGCAGTAGAGGGCCAGGACTGCTGGGGCTGCCCCTGGTATGGCACAGAGCTTGCACCCTTCTGTCTTGTGAGCCGGGCAGAAGGACACCAACCTGAAGGGGACTTGGATGCCCATGGTGAGCATTTCTGATAGAAATGCGTCCCTGTCCCTGCAGAGCGGACACTGAAAAGAGCAGATGCCATCGCGGACAGCCTGTCCCTGCAGGAGAAACGGAAGGAGAAGGAGTGAGGCTCTGGTGCTGCTCAGCGCCCGCCATGCCCCAAGGGCAAGGGAACGGCTCCTACCTGGATGCAGGCCCTATGGAACCAGGCGTGCTTGCACGCCGGGCACACTAGGGTGCCGTGGGACTTTCTGTCCCCCACCAGCTCGAGGCAGATGAGGCAGATGGTGGTGTTGTCTGGAGCTGCCTCCACTGCCTGCTGTGGGCAGTGCTCCCAGCAGAATGACCTGGGGGCAAGAAGAAAGGAGTGGGTGAGGTGGGAAGCGCTGAGGCCTTCCCCGGAGGCGGTGAGGAGGGCAGAGGAGGTACCTGAACTGGAAGAAGAACTGGGTTACGCATCCACCCTCCACTGCACAGGGAAGGTGGAAGCTGCGGTGGCAGCCCATCTCGTGGCAGGTGATGGTGGCCCCGCTCTCTCCACAGACGAAGCATTGCTGGAAAGAGCATAGCAGTCCCTGTCAGCAGCAGCCTCAGGGCCTCCCCAGCCAGCCCCACACCTCCGGGCAGGGCGCAGGTTGTGGCCGCTGCTGGGTCACAGCCCGCAGATCCGCCTGGCGGACGAGGCTGCGGTGCTGGAGCCTCTGTGGAGCTGCTGGGAGCAAGACTTTTGTCCCAGAGCTGCTTGGAAGGGCTGGGATTTCTTTAACTCCCGCAAAGCTCTCCTGGCACAAATATCCCTGTTCTTGTCAGGTCCTCACCTTCGGTGCTGCCCGCTCGACTGCACGTCGAATATCCTCAGGGAGGAACCCTTGAGGCCTAGTTCCTCGACCCGATGCTGACCCAGATGGTTGGCAAAAAACTGCAGAGGAGAAAAGGCGAGGAGCTGATGAGGAGAGTGTGGGGGGCATGGCCTGTCAGCAAGCTGGAGGGAGCCCCGAGGAACTCACCAGGCAAAACTCATGGGCACAGAGCCCCTTCTTCTGCAGTTGGTGCCCACAGATGTTTGGGTCAGCCTCTGCGCAGGGCACAGCATGCATGCTGGAGGGGAGAGAGCAAACGCCAGCGGGAATGAGCAGCTCTGTGGGGCCGGGGGCCGCATTCCTGAGGGATTGTCCCCAAGGGCTACTCTGTGGCTGCCCAGCCAGCTGATGGGCAGGGCTGGAGGCCTTGCAGAGGGAGGGGGCATTGCAGGCACGGGTGTCCCAGGAGGTGCCCACTGCCGAGCCTGGGCCCCGCTTGCTGAGGAGAGGAGGGGCCCTGCCCCGGGGCGCTCGGGGAGCTCCTGCCTCCCCCTGCCACCGCTCTCGGCCCTTGCTGAGCGCCCCGACAACCCTTCAACCAGGCTGCAGAGGCACACTTTGCTCTCACCCGGCTCCATCGGGTTGAGGGTCTCCTCATCCATGGTGGACATGGCCCACGTCAGCAGGGAGCGTCTGGAGAATCCCTGTCCCAGCAGCGCTGGGCAGTATCCTCCAGATGCTCTTCTGCTGACTCTGAGGGAGAAGCAGGACACAGGTGAGGGAGAGGCGGATGAGCCTCAGCACAGGCCCAGAGCCCCGCGGCAGCCACGTCCCTGCGCTGCCATCTCCTCACCTCACCAGGTCGCACTGAGGCACGGCTGGGGCCCCCCCCTCCCTCCCCTTCCG